GAAAACATGCGTTAAGAGTGTATGATGGTTCTAATTTATTGTCGGTACGCAACGAGAGTCTGTCACATACCGGGGTGGATGTTGGGTGTAACATGGCCCTCCTGATCGAGTCCCATGCGCGATCACAAGCGACGGGATGTTGATTGATAATAAACTTATCCGGTGTTACATACAAACCACTCCCATATTTTTAAATGCTTTTCGGAAGGTTTTTAATCAAAAGCAAAACACCTGACAATAGACTAGGGAAAATAATAAAAGAACAGTGAGTCACGTAATACAAAACGTAAGAATAAATACATTTTACGATTCTATTCAACTGCACTCGGATAGATTCTAGGTGTAACACGTTAGAGGTCAGGTTTCTGACTTTATCAAAGGCTTGTTATATGGTAAAAGCATTTCATACTTGAAGAAATGAAGCATCCCAAATATTGGGGTTATTGTAATCTTTGATGATAGATAAAGCCCATTTTCAATAAATCAGGACCAAATGATGTTGGGAGTGTATCAAAAAATCGATGTGCCGTATGTTGTTTTATTGTAAATGTTATAATGTTAATAACATAACGATGTCGGTAGAGAATTGTATTCGCCGACTTTACCGGAGGTTTTACAATCAAGGTTGCCCACGCTGACCGAAAACCCATTTTCCCTTCAAAAATGGCTTTTACTTTTACTTTCCCGATTATTTTTTATAAAATTTGAATCCGAATTTTCTCGCCCGAAAAACCCCAGTGCGCACCACCGGCCATGGCTGATCCCGATGGATTCATTTCCTGTCGGTGTTTGAACACCGCTGTCTACGCAGCATTGTACGAATCTGGTGGGGTAGCCGGATGAGCCAATGCTGGGGTTAGGGACAGAATTTTGGGTAAATACGGTCGCCCACTGGAGCAAGTGATCGACCTCCATAGATTACGTTGGCCTGGGGACATGACTACGCATGTCACCAGGTAGGTTACCACGGCGAGCGATGTTCGCAGAAGCAGATACCGAGTGGAAAAAAGAGTCGACCTCCATAGATTACGTTGGCTGGGACATGTGTTACGCATGTCACCAGGTAGGTTAACCACGGGCAGAGTGGAAAAAAGCCAAGGGTGGTCAAGTTAAGACCTGGCACGAGGGTATGAAAACCCAACAGGAAGAAAGCCAAGGGTGGTCAAGTTAAGACCTGGCACGAGGGTATGAAAACCCTAACCAGGAGATGGGTCACATAGGTCCTGTTAGGCTCCCTGGCTGGGGACCTCGGGATGATCGTAACCGATGGTCAGAGACACTGAGCAATATGGCTGGGTGTCGTAAACAGTGGCGTTCGTCCATCTCCTCAATTTCTTTGCAACCTTTTAAACAGTGGCGTTCGTGCATCTCCTCACTTTCTTTGCAACCTTAGTCCACTGAACTTCTCCATTTTCTTTTCGAATCCACTTTCAACTCTCCTATTCTTCATCCGAATGGGCGGCCAAAAGACAGCAACCAAAACCGGCGCACGAAGGTGCATAGTTAATGGTTGTTCAAACTGGAACTCTGAAAACATTTCCTCAGAACTCTGTACTTTCGAGCAAATTTTCAAGATCATTGCTGGTCGGTCCCGAAACTGTATATAAACAGATGAGTTGTCCACGGTCATAGTATTTTGAGTCGAGCCAAGTATACAGCCGCACCTAAAGGCCTATCTTCCGTCTTCTCTCTGGTTTAGTTCCGGTTTCCTACTACTCTCGCGGGGCGTTCTTTCTACTCTATTGAGAATTGCGCTGGGTACCACAATCGGATGTATTCCTGTTGTATTCGCTCGGTTTCCGCTCCTGAACTGCCCTGTTGCATGCTCATTGGGCTCACGGTCCAAGCTATTCCGGTCGTATCGATTATCTGAACGTCTCATTTGAGTGATCGACTCATTGCTTAAGGTATTGTAAGCGGATGATAACTTGGCACGAGTAACAGTCTTACGGCCAGGTCATTTAATGATAGATTTAATGACCGACCAATGTGAAGCCGGTGTGGGGAGGGGTAACAGATGTGTTGTTTTGATGTATATCGTCAACGATTGCGTAGTCTAGATATTGATTAATGAAAATCGATCGGGTAAGTAGCGAATTTCAAAGCCAAATAAAAGAAAAGGATAGAATGATAGAACGGCACTGTGTGTTACACCCTTGTTTACAGAAATGGTGGTAAACCTCATGCCGTTGAGATTTAGAAATCACTCACTCAATAAAACAGCGATGAAAATTTAAGGTTTAGAAACCAAGTTTCAAACGACGTCCAACATGTAAAGATTGTTTGCACAAAAGTCAACAGCCTTTCTATGTTCCGGTTGTTATTTAATTGTATTCTATCATTT